CCCCCAATTTTTATAAGTAATTTGAGTCATTTTTTACTATTATCATTCTCTGGTTGACTGGTGGATCACCAATTAAATAAATAAATAGGAATAGAAAGTATAGATGACTAATACAAGCTATATATTTACTATATTTTTACAATGCTAAACAATATATTTACCAAATTTGATTTTTTAATAAAGAAGTTGAAATAACATATATAAATAATACCAAAACATGTTGCTTCTTTCAAGAAATTGAAGATACTAGTAATTTTCATAAAAATTTAACATCTCAATTAGATTCAATTATTAATATAATAATATTAATAATGCTCCAAATGAAAACAATAGAATTTTAAATATGAAATATGAAGAACTTTACTCTTTTTCTTGTAAGTATGCTGTATTTAATTATTAATTTTTAATCTATAATAACTTCAACTTTACAAATAGATAATGCTAATAAAAACAGTAAATAACACAAGTAGATAATAGTAGTAATATTGAAGGTGAAGGTTGCGAGGAAGATGAAGAAATAATACAAATAGATGAGGCTAATAAAAACTGTAAAGTAATACAAGTGGATAATAGTAGTGAAGTGAAGGTGAAGGTTATAAGGAAGGTGATGTTGAAAGTGAAGATAATGATGAAGGCAATGAAAAAGTTAATAATAAAGAAAACAATAAAGATGATAATAAAGAAAGTAATAAAGATAAGAATAAAGATGAAGATAAGAATAATAATTATGAACAAAATATTAAGCGACAATGTAAATATATAATTTGATTAGTTTTATTAGATTAAAAAAAATACTTACTTTAATTTTAAGTTTAGATCTTATATCTAAAAGAGTTAATTAGCTCTTTTTCCTTTAAGAAATATTCCCAGATATTATAACTTAATGTATTATTTTAGCATCTATTATATGGAATATTAATTTTGACAAAATTGAAATTAATTAAACAAAAAATATTGCAATACTTAAAAACAATTAAGGTGAAATTATAATTAATCTAATAAATCCTTTAGAAATTAAAAAATTGGTAAAGAACATTAAATTTTCTAAATTCAAATAGGTTAGTAAAAAGCAACTTAGCCAAGATCCTTACTTATATATTGGTTATTTTGCTAATTTTCAACCCACTAAAAAAAGGAGATATTAACTGGAAATAAATTAAAAGTTTCAAACTAATACCACGAGCTATTAGTATTTAAAAGTGAATTAACTGTAATAGCATCTTTTTATAATAAAAATTCATTTATTAAAAAAGATGACTATTATAAAAGTCTTCTTAAATATCTAAAGAAACTTACTATATTTCATAAATCTTCAATAGTTTAATTTGATCTTGCTCAGATTGGTGGTGAATTAGCTTTGGAATATAAAAATCTTGTATTAAAAATTCAAATAATAGCAAGACCAAATTATGCTATTAAGGTATATCAGAAGTTTCTCAAAATCTTAGAGTTAGAAATTTATCTAAATATAACACATTAGATAAAAAAGTACAAATTTTTCAACTTTAATGAGTACATGTTATCAGTCTATTTTTGATTATAATATTACAACTTATAATATTGAAGTTTCTCGCAGAATATTGCTTCGATTCTTGTATAAATTTGAAATAGTATACAATTATTTAATAGAATAGATAAATAAATATACAACTCGTGAAAAAGTAATCAAGTATGCAACTCAAGTAAGGTCTTTACTTATTGGAAAAGAATTACTATATGACATGTTTAATATTAATCAATCAAACAATTTATGAATATTAAATATGTTATTGATAGTGATTCTTTTAAAGTAAAAAAAAAAAAAAAGAATCAAGATTTAAAAAATTATTCAAAACTAAATATAAATATTTCTGGCTTTGTAGAAAATATTTTATCAAGAAAACTTATAACTTTTATTACTACAGACCCTTGCTTGTATCAATTACTTAAAGCACTCAATAATAATTGGATACTTTTAGATATAATTAACAATGTTAATATTACATAGTTAGAGAATATCAGAAAAGATGAATGGGCTGCTTTTATTAAAAATATTAAAAGATATTAAAAATTTTGTATTAATTTTTGTACTTGTTTTGCTAGATTTCTTTTATTGTAATATATTGTTTTTGAAAATTGAAATATTGATTATATTAAATAGTAAGTAATTATATAAATTTAAATAGCAATTATAATAAGTCTAATATGAGTATTATAAAAAAATTTTTTATCAAAATTTAATTATATTTTGTATATAGTTAACTGTCTAGCAAAAATCTATCATAATGATAGATTTTTAATAGACGGCTAACTATACAAAATATAATTGAAAGTCTGATAACAGGTTTTTATTTACAGATTATTCTTATATAATTCTATTGATTCTTTTAATTTTTAGAAACAATATTTTGTCATAAAACGAAATATAGCAGTTATTAAAAATTGATAAAAAAAGTGAAACTTATATAGTTAAGCATAAAAAACTTAGAGACATTTCAAACATAGTGCAAAAAACAGAAAAAGAAACAAAGTTGATTTTTGAAAAAAGACACATTGAAGAGATAGTTGGTAAAAAGGAAGAAAAAGTGCTAATCAAAGCAAAAAAGGTGAAAAGAATAAAGAAAAAAGGTAAAATAGTTATAGAGTACGAATGTTGGGAAATAGTTTTAGTTAATAGAATAGTTAGTAATAATGTAATTAGATCTAAAATAGTAGAAAGTTTAGAATATAATAAAGATTTAGATAGTCTATTTTTTTATACAGGGTATTGCTAAGGGTGAAGATAAATTAGTAATAGAATGTGGAGTAATTCAAACTACAGAACCAGGTCAAATGTTGCGTCAAATATCTTGTATGACAAAGAGGTAGTTCTTGTCTACAAGAGAAGAAATGGTAGCAATATTACTCGTATTATTATTAACACTGGGGAAGAAGGGTAGAGATACAAACGGATAGTAAAACAGCAATATTAGCAATCAAAAGGGCCTAAAGACAGACAAGATAAGACCTTGGTTAAAGACTAAGAATTGTGGCTTAGTAATAACAATTGTAGAAGTAATCAAGACAAAGGAGTTAAATATACACTTTATAAAGATCAAAGGTTACTTAGATGATATATTCAATGATCTTGCAAATTTGAAAGCAAAGAAAGGGTCCAAGTCAACAGAATACCTAAACCCAGAAGCATTATATATAAAATAAGATACATGTAGGAAGGTAAATTAGTTGAAAAGCCTATCTGTTCTTTTGTCAAAATGATAGGGAGAATGCTATTGAAAGCAGAGTGGGCTTTTTTACACAATACGCATAATGAAACTTATCAAGAAAGAAAGAGTACTCAATCCTGGTCCATGCTGTATAACATAATGAAAGCGGAACCAAACAATGAAACATACTTTTAAATCAAATACTTTACAGCTCTTCGAATCAAAGTATATAAACAACATGCTCCCAGTGTTCGAAAAACTTAATTGGAAAAAGCCAGAAACATACAAGACAAATAAATATATCATATATAAAAAAAAAAAAGAGATCGTAGAATATCTGGTAAGCTGTAAAACCTCCCTGAACCTACTTTGTAATATAGAGAAGCAAGTAGTAAAAGCAACCTTGCTTGAACTAAAAAAGATAGAAAGTATGGAGACAACCAAAAAAGAAGTCTTAACAATACTAGGAAAGAGATCCCAAGCTAAAGAATCATGTAGAAGAGAAAGATGGATCAGAAGCCTAATCATAAAAGAAAACTTTGATGAGTTGAGACCTCTTTTCAACTCAAATAATCAAGCAAAGAGCTTTCTAGATAAACTTTGAAAAAATTGAATGAAAGAGATATATAAGAGAATATGGGTTGCAAGATGCAAACTAGTACAGGAATAGGAAGATCATGCCAAAAGATAAAAGAAAATGATATGAAAAGACAAGAAGAAAAAAAAAGAAGAAGAAACTATCTAATAAATGTATTAAAAAAAAAGAAAAAGATAAAGTTTTAGATGAGGATAAAAAATAGAGTTCAATTTTAGAGATAACTAAAAAGGAGGTTCTAAGGTGGATTGAAAAAGGGCAACAGGCAGATTGGTGGAAAACTAACATGTAGTCTTGACGGGTAGTAAGATCTAGCTAGTAATATATTATTGAAGCCAATTGCAGAATAAAATAATATAGAGACAAATCTTACTATAGCCAGTCATACATAGGTACTCAGTGAGCAACCAAGTAAGTTTCCACTTGTAATTTAGATACTATAGAGTATAACTCTGTAGAAAATTTTAATAGTTTAGATAATTATTACAAAGCTTAATAAAGTGAAGGTAAGACTGCCAAAATTTTTTTTTTTAAAAAAAAAAAAAGATTCTTTTAATTTTTTGCAACTTGATTTTGTAGTTGCTTTTGTTTGTTTTTTGCAAAAAAAAAATATTAGTAAAAAAAGTTAGTTTTTTTAATAATTGGTAGTAAAATTAATTAAAAAATTTCGATATTTCAAATACTTATCTTTAATTTATAAATTTTATAATTATTAGCTATGGATAATAAAATTTTATGTACTTGTATTTTTTGTATACAAAAAACTAATAGTTGTGGTAAAATGTTAAGTATTTCTACTTGAACAAGGCATAGGAAGTAAGAAAAAAATCTTCAAAATTCTTATCCAAGTTTAAATAATACATCTACTCAAACAAGGCATAGAAAAAAAGAAAAAAAATTTCAAAATTCTTTTTTAATTTCAAATAGTACATCTAATAATATTTTGAATAATCAAATAAACATTAAAAGTATAGAAGATATTGAGAAAAATATTGAACAAAATAAAATTAAAAAAATTTTTTATTATTTTGAATTAATTTTTTTTAAATTAAATTAATTTTTTATATTTTAGATTTAGAAAATAAAAAATTGGAGAAGGATAAATCGAAGAAGAAGAATAAATTAAAGGAAAATGAATTAGAGGAGGATAAATTGGAAGAGGATGAATTGGAAAAGGATGAATTGGAAGATGATAAATTGGAAGAGAATGAATTGGAAAATAAATTGGAAGAAAATAAATTAGAAAATGATAAATTGGAGGAGGATGAATTGGAAGAAAATGAATTAGAAAAGAATGAATTGGAAGAGAATGAATTGGAAGATAAATTGGAAGAAATGAATTGGAGAAGAATGAACTAGAAGAGGATGAATTGGAAGAAGAGAATGAATTAGAAGAGGTAAATTAGAGAATAGTGAAAAACTAAGTTTTAAATTAGAAAAGAATTTTGATAATGCTAAATTTAATAGTAATTATTTTTAGAATTTAATTAAAATTAACCTCTAGTGAAATTCACTGCTTATATAATCAAATTTGTAATACGTATTACGCAATCATGCTTTATCATTATTATATACTGTAGATAATCTCAAATAAAACCTCAAAGAAGAGATGAAATTTGCCCACATTACTACTTGGAAAAATAAGCGAGAACTGACCTCTTTGAATCTTAGTAATACTCAACTTGGATCAAAGGTAGAAAGTGCAATGCTTAATGCATTTTACAGAAGCACCAACTAAATTTTTTAAAACTTTGTTTAAAGGAGGAAGAGCATTAGTGAATGCATTAGCAAAAGCACTATACAGTCTTCTTTTAGAGCTTTCTTTGAATCAACACCCTAGTAAATTATTTGGTAAGACTTTAAATCTTAAGCACTTTACTGGGACGATGTTCAGACTTGTTCGTTTTAGAAATTGTTCTCCATTTTAATGAATTTGAAAAAGTTTAAACATTCTACTTTAATACTGAAAGCTTTAATCATTCAACTCATTGTTATAGTTAAATAGGTTTTAAACAGATGTATATATTTTTTTTTACTGTATTTAGTCTATAAGAACAAAAATGCATGTACTAGAGTATACTTTACCGAAAGCTCTTCCAAAGTTGATTTCCATACCAGCATATGGTTAGTTTTTGCTTATAAAAAAGAGGTAAATAATGCACAGAATATTGTATTGAACTTAGTAATAGGAAATGACTAATTTTTAGTTGACTAAGTTAACTAAAATCAACTATTCAACTAAATTTTATTAGTTGACTAAAAATCAACTAAAAATAAATATATAGACTATATAGTGTTGTGCATACACTTGGAATATTTTGGAGTTTTCAGAATATTTCGAAACATAATTCTGGCTAGCATTAGCAGTAAGCTGCTATAATACTGGCCAAAATTCTATTCGTATGAAATTTGAAAAAACTAAACACTAATATAGACTAATAGTTAACCAATATTTTTAATTGGTTGACTAATAAATTGTAATTTATAGTATTTACTTTATATAATATATAATTAGTTAATAATCATAAAATTAGTTGACTGACTAGTTAACTAAAAAATTTTAGTCGATTCGGATCACTAATTGAACTATGGCATGAATAATACTACAAATGAAACTATAAATGAAGCTACGAATGATGCTATGAATAAAGCTATGAATGAAGCTACGAACAAAGCTATGAATGAGGCTACGAACAAAGCTATGAATGATACAATGAATAAAGCTACAAATGATGCCACAAACAATACCACAGATAATACTATGAACATTATTATGGGCATAAAAAATACCATAAACATGAACATGAACAATACTATAAGCATGAATGATACTATGAACATGAACAATGCTATAAGTATGAACGATGCTATGAATATGAACAATGCTATAAGTATGAACAATGCCATAAATATGAACATTAATGATACTATAAGCATGAATAATAGAATGAATACTGATAACTATTTTTTAATATCTGAAAAGGAACAGAATAATCTTAATATTAACAATGCTCAAATTCAGACCTCTAGTAAGATTTGTTATATTTTAATTGGAGTGATCTTTAAAGTACTGGCTTCAAATATAAGTATCAAACCCAAAGTTTGATTTTGATACTTATATTTGTAGCCTGCACTTTAGAGATCTTAGCTAGTTTATTTCAAGATACTATATAATAGTATAATAGTTTTACTTAATACTAACCTGTAGTTTTTAGATTTTTTTATAACGATGATTCTGATATAATCGTATCAACTTACCAGTATAATCTTCATATAGAAGATCCTTTTGATGACTGGTTATCTGTTGATATATTTATATACCAATATTGTCTTGAACATGGATTTGGATATCAAATTTTCCATAATGATAAAGATCCAGACAATCACTCCATTACTTACCGCAAGTCTTTTCATTGCTCATCAAGTGAAAATTATAAAGCTCAAAAAATATTGATTAGAATTCGCATTGTTTGCGAGGTAATATAAAAACTAATTGCGAATGGCACTGTAATTTTACCTTTCCAAAAACAACCAACCAAATAACATGTACAATATTAAAAGATAGTTATAATCATGAATTAAACCCTACTCAAGTAGCTGATGTAATTCCTAGATATCATCGGCTTAGTAATAAAATGATCCAAAAATTAAAATTTCTTACTAGCTGTAAAGTAGCACCAATCATGTAGTTAGAAATTCTTAAGGAAAAATACCCACATCATGAACAAGCTATTTATAATATGATTTACAAGAATTGTAATAATAGAAATGAAATAAATTCCGATTCAGGCTCATTTCTTAATGCTCTTTATGAAAAAGTTCAAGATGCAAACTGGAAAGTATTTGTTTGGCATACTGGTAATGAACATCATTTGTCAGGTGTTTTTTGGATGTCTCCATCCCAGCAAAATTTGTATCAGCAATTTCACGATGTTGTTTTAAACAACAATACATGTAAAACTAATAAGTACAACATGTATTTAAGTGTATTTATGTTAAGAGATAATTATGGAAGGTTATGAAATATAGCGAATGCATTAGTAGAATCAATATATAACAATATTTAAAGAAGGCAACTAATGATCTTGTTTTAAAATCATTTTGGACAGATTCCGAGCCAGGTTTAATAAATATAGTTGCTCAGGTTTTTCCAACGACAAATCATTATTATTGCTTTTTTTATATTTGGCAAAATATTATTAAGCATCTTAAAACAAAGTTAGGATCAAACTTTTATTCTTTTAGCCAAGCATTTTACTCTTGTCGAAATATATTAAGTGTGGAATTATTTAACAAGCAGTGAAAATTTATATTAAAGTCATTTCTGGAATGTTATAAATATATGACTAGAGCATTATATAATAATTAGATAAATTGGGCTAGATCTTTTACACCTTTTCAATTTAATGCTGGCATACAGAGTACTCAAAGTGTAGAATCATTTAATGGTATCATAAAAAAGGCCTTAAATAGTGCTAGTACACTTTGTGATGTCGAAAAGATAATTAATAAAAGACATGGAGATAAATCTCAGTACTGTAATCTAATTGATTTCAAGGATTAACATATGACTATTAGATTTTCGCATATTTTATTTCAATTTTTTTCGAGTGTTGATACAATTCTTATTTAGTTTTTTACACCACCACCTGTACTATCTTGGCAATGATTTCAAATGTCACAGTCATTTACTTATGAAGACTCATTGGTTTTATTATCTACTGAGATAAAGCAGCTTATATTTATGCTTATTAATTACTGTATATATTGATTATTAAATACGCTTATTTTTATAGATTTTAAAATTGAAAACTATTGATAATAATTTCATAGAAGATATATTGGATGAACTACAAGCAACTTTACAATCTCTTTTAAGCAATTTGGAATCTAAAAATATAATTGAAACTTGGAGAGTTCGTCGTATAGGTGGACTTTCACATAAAGAGAATTTGGTAATACTATTTGCTAATGGATCCCATATTTGTACTTGTATAGAAACTGTTACAAAAGGCATAATCTGCTGGCATTTTTGGCATGTTATGCTTTATTCACACTTTGCAAAATTTAATATAAGTATTATACCTGCAAGATAGTATAAAGACATTATACATACTAAATAGATTTTAATGTTAAAAACTCTTCTGTACTTACTACATTAGAATCACCTTCTAATAGTTCATTTCAAGTAACTTTTGCTTTTCAAAGCATACAAAATTTCAATAAATCTACTTATAACGAAGTTGATCACAAACATGTTTTAGAAAGAAATCAATATGGAATTGCTTTTTCAATAGCCAAAACAGCTATTAACATTGCTTTAGAAAACAATAAAGATGCTGAATTGGTTTAGTTACTAAAAGGTTTTATTGCAGCAAATCAAAAAGAATATGAAACTAATACGGATGAAGCTGAAAAGAATATGAAACTAATACGGATGAAGCTGAAAAGAATATTAGTACTGAAAATTACAACTCTAAACAAAATCAGAATACAAGTGAAATAATTTCATTACAACAGCATTCAATTAATCAAATTATTAGCCCTAAAGTTACTAAAATTCATGGCACTCTATGTAAAAAAAGAATTAAGACTAGTATAGAGATATCAAAAGAAAAAGTATTAAATGAAATTTCGAATACTGTTCAAGAAGCTAATTATAGTGAAACAAGCTCAAAACAGCAACACAAGTGTTTGATATATAAAAAGCCAGATCATTATCAGAAGAAATGTCCTTTAGTTAATAATAATGAAAATGAATAATATAATATATTGTATGTAATTGCTTATTTGCTGATACTTTTAATAAATTAAGCATTATAATAGATGCATATATAAAGTATTATTTATTTCTTGTAATTTAGTATAATTAGTGAAGCGAAAGCAATAGTTAAAGTATAGTATAATAATTACAGTATCTAAATTGATAAAGTTACCTGTTTCCAATAGTTAGAATAAGTGTTAATTACAAAAGTGAGTTAAGATATAAAGTTAGTATAAAAGCGAAGCAAAGACAGTAGCTAAAATATAGTATTAATATATAGTAAGAGTATTATATATAAAAAGATAATTACTTAAAGCAACTAGTAATGATGATTACATACTAATAAGTACTGTAACACTTATATATTATGTGCTACAATATTGACTGCTAAAATTGATATGATGGATAATTTGTTCGAGAGTACAGGTCGTGTGCACGTAGCTGCTTTAGAAATATGCTTCACGAGATGACTGCCTAGGTGTGAGCGAAGCAAACACCGTATAGCAACTATATAATGACTTGATAGTATAGTTTAGTTTATATTCACTTCTATTACATATTATTATAAAATCAGGTTTGTATTATATAGTGTCACATAGCAAAATTCTTATAAAAAAATATTTATATGATAGATATGACAAATTAAGTGATAAATAAGTTTTAATTATAGTGGTTAATAATTATTCGTCACAACTGTCAATTTATTATACCCTATATTAAATTACAGTTTTGTATAACATGCTATCCCTTAGATTGTAGTAGAACACAGGCAAATTTGCCTGTGTTTTTATACTTTTTTAGCTCTAATTTATTTTTTTAAAATGCTAAAATAATTAAATAAAACTTTGTATAATTATATTTGAAAATAAGGATTACTTTTTTGCAAAATTAGTTTTTATATTATAAGAAAAAAAATTATAGTTACATA